TGTTGCACAGGTGGGACTTCAGGACGAGGGCTTTCAGAGATTTGTTGAATCTCAAAAGCTGATTGCCCTCGACACGTGGTGCAGCGGCCGAGGAAGCACATACGTTCAGGGCAACAGGCTTCCTCTAAAGGGCCTGCCAAAATATCAGCCCCGGCCAATCACCTTGGACTGGGCCAGTGGAAGAAATGAGGACGTTTGCCCCTTCAGCCTCACGTCCGGCCTGTCAGGCACTGGAATCTCCCACCAAGTCTGGAAGCTGCAATACGAGCTGGACGCCCACAGTCGGAGTCCATGAAAACATGGGTCAGAGACAGGCTCAGTACGAGAACACATGAACCTGAACAAGTCAATCAAGTGCTGATAGAAGACTCAGAAAGATCTTCCCGAAACCTCAGCGATGGGTCAAACCGCAAAATGCCCAGCATCGCGCTGCATTGCGTATGTGGACACGCATTAAAACACCTTTAACAGGAACACGACTCCTGCGTCTTGACGGATGCTGATCATACACAGCTCCTTGATGACTTGGCATAAGCAGGCGATTAATCTCGCCCGAAAGCAGCGGGCCCAGGACTTCCAAAAGAAGTTGGGATGCCCATATTGCTCGCAAGACTTTGAAGAAGCTTCGTCCTTGGGAGCCACAGGCTAGAGCTTAGCTTCAGAGTCCGGAAGGAGTCCTCCTGGATCCAGAAGCGGAGCCGCGGCTCTTGGAGGAGCACATCACCAAGGGTTTGGCGAAATATCCGCCACTGTGTCAGGACTTGCAACAGCTCCCTACGACCGCACCTCAGGACCTTAGCAAGCATATTGGATCTATTAGACCACACAAGGCAGTACCACGGGGCGCTGCTCCGGCAGCAGCCTGGAAACTGTGTGCGGACGAAGTCGCCTCCAATTTGGTGCAACATCTGCAGGAAACATCAGGAAACGCCTGGGCCCCGCGGAGCACCGATTGCTTTGTCCAGCTGGTGCTGTGGCAGTGGCAATTCGCCCGCTCGCTCAGCGTCCGATAAAATGAAAGTTGCCGTAGTGGTGGTAGTGGTAGTGGTGGTAGTAGTGCTCATTCGCACCGGCCTGGCTCAGCTTTACACCAGCGCCGAAGAACGCGTTCCCGCAGCGTGCGCAGCACCAGGAAGCGGCCGACCTGGGCCCACTTCACCTGCGCGGAAAGACTTCCTGGGGCTGTGAACTGAAACGGGACGACAAGAAGGCTGTGAGGAAGAAGTGGACTAGAAAGGCCCAGAAGGCCTGAGCGGCATCGGCGCCAGTGGTCCCGGGAACCGTGGCCGTGCCGTGCACAAGCGCCGCCACGGGAAGGGTTTCTGGGAGGTGGGCTCAAAGGATGAGGCTCTGGGTTGCAGACGAGCGAGAACGGACTTTAAAGGCCAAGTGGCTCTCTTCCAACAGCTCTGCCAATGCAGCCAGCTCCTCACAAGGCTGAAGCGGTGCTGGCGGAATCGCTTCCTGCAATAAACCCAACCCTCAACACAAAGGAAACGTCCTGCGCGCCCGTGAGGAGGCCAAGATCAAGATCTAGTAAAGCCAGCAGCCCAGAAAGCTGGAGAAGGCCCACCTGCCCCAGCAGCTGGAGGCGTGAAAGCGACAATCCAAGGACAGCTCGAATTCTGGGAAGCGCCTTGAATCTTCCTACTTTGTCAGCCGTGAGAGCCCTCCTTTATTGAATTCCCCAACACCCCTCCTCCCGCCTTGTCGCCAAAGGATCTCGAAAGCTGATCGGAGGCCCTTGGCAGGAGGAAGGCTGTTTTTCTCTATATCCCATTCGACAATTCCTTGTAAACCTTCTGCTTCGAGGTGAGTGGTCAAGTAGCTCAGACAGACTGAAATATACTGATTCTCCAACACATCCCGGTTGGACACCGAGGGACCGTTCCGCACCACCGAAGCACCAGCAGACAGCTTCTGCAAGTGCCTTCGGACCTTCGAAGTGAAAGGCATGGCTGGGCTCTTGCATGGCTGGCGGTGCCCTGCGGTGCCCTGCGGTGCCTTGTTGGACACCCAAGCTCTCCAGATGCCGGAGCAAGGAGGCCCTGTGAAGCCGCTGCTCCTTGCCTGCAGGCACTGGGTTCCTACGTGCACGAAGCGGGGGGCCCGGGCCCGGGCTTGCCTCGTAAAGCCGGCTCATGCGCTGCAAGCTCCGAGAGCTCAGTCTGCCAGACAGAGACTGGACGCAAGGCTCCTGCGCTGCTGGTGAAATCGTGTGGACCACCGCTTTCCGGCTGGAGACGTCCTTGTCTAAGCGACTGGCGACCTTAGACACCAGACCAAAGTGCAGGGACTGCCCGCCCTACCATGTCTTTGGCCGAGCTCCTGGCTGGCGGTGGCCCGTTGCTGGGAGCGCTGCTCCTGAAACCACCAAACGTAGTCCTGAGACGACATTTGAGCGGGGAGGTCTCAGGCGAATCGCCGTTAGACTTGCATTGGTGTCCTCCCCATGGCTGCTCTCCCGGATCTCGCAGAAGGGGATCTCTACACTGCGTTCGCCCGTAAGCACGGGAAACCAGACCTTCGACATAGACAGGGTACACTGGCGCAGACTCATGCGGGAAGAAAGGGTGGCCTCCCGTGGGCGTCGCATTGGCAAGACCTTCGTCTCCGCGTTGCTATAGGTTGGAGAATCCTGCAAAGTTTGAACGTCAGGTCATGTCCCCAGCCTTGTTGACGCGTCCCAAGGATCTTGCCAAGAGCTGAAACGTTTCAGTTAATCCTTAAGAAATACGCGCGTCCTGAAACAGCCTGGATCCCGTCGCAGGTCGACTGGAAGAGGACGGGCTGCAGGCCTCACCGAACAGCCATGTTTATGACAGTAAAGATATGCACAGGTTTGAACCTGAGAGACACAAAACAGTTGACAACAGCCAGCATCCAGCCACCCCTTTCCTTCTACCGTCTACGAAATTCGTCGACTCAGTCTCGGAACTAGTACATCTCCAAAAACCACCAACATCTCTCAGTCCCAGAGGCTCTGAATGTGATGGGTCCGTCTTCTGCTTCTCTGGGAGACGGCGACGACGGCGAATGCAGTGAATCGTCGACGGCCACTGCAGGTGTCGGAGTCGGTGTCCTTCCGGGGTGAAGTTGCAACCAGCGGCTGAGAAGATCTCCACTGCGATTCGATCTTGTGGTGGTCCAAGGAGAAACTATGATATCTACGACTTCCCGCTTGCCTCATGTCTCTCTCTCTCTCTCTCTTTCTTTCGTAGCCCTTCTCTCCCTCTCTTTCTTTCGCCAGGGCTAGGGTGAAGGAGTAGCCCCCCTTCACCGACCGGCGCTTCGGGCGAATCTTGTTCAGTGCCGATCCTGGCACAGCAAGTGGTTCAAGCATACGTGCGGAACGGATGAAGCCCCAAACATGCTTCGACTGAAGGCCCGCTCTGGCACTCCGGGCACATTGTGAAAGAAGTTCATGGTGGCCGTTTTGAGGGAGCCAAGCTTCATGACCAAGCTTTGGTATCTGCATGGCAATGTCGCAGATTCAACACCCAGTCGCAGCGGCTGGCGAGCAGCAAACAGAAAGGCGAACGATACCATCGCAATCAAGTTACATGCCAGCCTGCAGTTCCATCCACTGCTGTGGGACCACTTCGCGGCTTGAATCTCACAACCCTCTTCTTTGACGTCCCAAATCCGTACGAGTATCACAACGGAGACATGCCGGCTATGTCGAGCAAAGCAAATGCTCTATCACAACGAGCCAGAACCCGACCAGTCAAGTCAACGAGACTGCTGCAGCCAGAAGCCAATTCTAAGACTTCGATGCCGGTGCATGTTCCATCTCTCCGTTCCTATCTCTCTCCATTTGGCTCTGTGTTCTGTCTGTGGCCTGCGAAGGGATCCGAAGTGCGAGAGAGGAAAGATCGAGACAGAGGGATGAGAAGCGAGAGACTCCGAGACCTTGCCTCCCGGATCGCGCATGAAGCAGCGGCGCTGACTGCGAAGGCTGCAGTTGCTGCCGCTGCCGCAGCGTCGCTTCGATGGCCGGCGCAGCGTAGTTGCGCTTCCCCAACTTCCTGCCGAAGTCAGGTGCAGCATGAAGGATCTTGAAGGCTTCGCGACTGAGAGGGCTCGATTTCTACGGTGCGGCACAATACGGAAGCTTTCAAGCACAGGTGCGAAAGAACGGTACTGCTGGAAGTCGCCTCAGCACTGATCCCTGCCTCCAGGTCGTGCAGGGTAAGTCCCGTTGGGGCGCCCGAATTCTGCTGACCTGCGAAGCATCTTTAGGAAAGATCCGAATCCAAGCTCACTTCGTGTCCAAGCCTTTAGCGAGTCCTCCTTGAGGGGTCCAAGTGGCATGGAGGGCCCGGCCGAATCGGAACCCCGAAGTCAAAGGCTGTTGTCTTTCGCTTCGACCTTTGTGGGACATCCCGAGTTTCCGGGCTCTGTGTTGAACCCGATACCCCTGGCATGATCGACGGCCTTAGATGCCTTTCCTTTTGGAAGACTGTCTTTATGTTCACCCCCGGCTCACTAAAAGCCAAGATCAGGATCTTTGAGCAATTCGGCCACAGGTTCGAAAGCGTGCCCTGCGCACCCCACGTGTGGAAGCGACGTACCAAACGTCGAAGATGCAGTCCACACACACCATTTCGCAAAGGTGCGAGTGCATCGGGCGGCAAACGGCTAGAGCAGAAGCATCAGCAACACTGAATGACCCGGCAAAGACCTTGCATTGCAAAACATGCTCTCGCCCGCAGCTTCCACTTTGCCGCTTGCGCCCAGCAGGAACGTGCAACAGCCACTTCAGGAACCCCAGCTGAGATCTTATTCAGCCAAGGTGGCTGACACAAAGAGTTAAATAGTTCAAAGCCGAGCTCTGCACCTGTGAACTCAGAGCAGGTCAAAGGCACAGGGAACCCGGCTGTTGCCTTGCACCTCGGATTCAAACTAGGATGTGCAGACTCTGAACTCTTTCAAGTACCAGATATTCATGTCTGACGCTTCGGATGCACAAGATGCTGCTATGCTTCTCTTTCAGTCACTGAGGCTGTCTCTCAGAGCGAGTGCCCCGAGCTTTTTCCGGGCTGTGAGCAAAGCCGTCACCTCGCCATGTCAAACTCGTGGTGGGACTTCTGGGGCGCTGGGAATAGCTGTGCGCACTCATCTCCCCACTGAAGCTGAGCACGCAGCCGCGCTGGTGATAGCCTGCAAGGTTTGTACATCCTTGGCCGAGTTTCAGCACGGACTTGGTTGGCGAAGCACTACACTCGAGGACGGGACGCTAGCAGAGAGCTGCCATGTGTCAGAGCCCGCGACGACCAGCTCAAACCGAAGCCAGAACCTGCACAGGCCGCCAGCTGCCAGCACCGCGGCCCGCAGCGTGTTTTGGCGGAGCCTGGCCTAGGCCTGGGCTTGCTTGTTGCCGGCGCCTGGTCTTCCCAACAGGGAGAAGACGGCGAGCTCCCAGGTCCCAGCCTTCTGCTGCATCGCCAGCAGCGTGGCCTTTGGAAGGTGCACCTCAAAACTTTCAGACTTCCGCCTACCCACAGCTTGTCCATCACAAGCCGCATGGAGGGGTGCCCACAGCTTCGGAGTTCTAGTTTCGGATCGCATGCTCGGGGTTTCGGATCACGGGGGAGACAGTTTCGGGCCCGAGTTGCGGAGCGGACACGGTCAGTTTCGGGGCAAGGGCCCCGCAGTTTCGCAGTTTTGGGGAGCAAGGTCGGCGGTTTCAGTGCCGAGCGCTCTTTTGCTCCCGCAACTGTTGATGCTGAGACTCCGAAAACAGCACGAAGATCATTCGCAAGCCTTGAAACGTTGAGTAACAACAACCACGAGGACAGCAACGGCACAACAAGGACGACGACAGCCACGACGGCGAAACAAACGCACGACCAAAAACGTGCAAGCAACGGCCTCTTGCTTTCATGGCACCGAAACCATGATGCAAGCAACGGCCACCTGCCGCTTGCCTTCTCCGTGTGTCGTTGGCACAAACATGATGGTGAAAGCAAAGACTGCTTGCCGAAATGTTGTGATCAACCGTGATCGCCCGATGAAGAGTCTGGTTTACAACTAACTGCTACTGCTTAGTCAGAGGGCTTGGATAAAAAAGCTGATCAAGAGTTTCAGGGCTCGTGTGCGAGTTGTGCGGGCCAAGAACCGGCAGGATCCGAAACTGTCCGCGGCATGTTCCGAGAACCCGCTCGGAAACTGGACACCGAAACTTACCGCGAGAACCCTGAAACTCGTAACTTCCAGGATGGAGGCCCTCTAATGCTCGGCTGGACGTCACTAGAAATCGCAGAGGTCCACAGCTACATAAGCGCTGCACATCCTAGAATTTTAGTTGCAATATTTGCAGTTCGAAGGTCTGGATTCAGCGAAGCCACACAGGACTGGCTGAAGCCTCAATTGTGTCTGAGTTCACGGCTCGGGTCAGCGTGTCTAACCTTCGGCATCGTGCGGGCGGTAGCTGAAGCGGGCTGACGCTGACCAAGACGAAGGGCCCACTCCCTCCGGAAACCCCATGGGATCCCAAGGGAGGGGCCTGAGAAAGGCGTCTGCGACGCGCTTGCGCGCCTCACAGAGCAGGCGTTGCACTGCTACAAGGACCTTCTGACTTCATCCTTGGGCCCAGGCCACGAGATGGCCTGAGACTTCCGTGGCTTCCGCCCTCTCCGATCGCCTGGGCTCGATAGGCCCCATGGGACCCTAGACAGTCCAACACCACAGGAGAAGCATTGGGCATCCGACGTCGCAGGCGAGTCTGTAGGCCTGAGTGCGGCCAAGTACGACACGTCTCAGCTAGGCTAAGGCTCCATGCCGTTTCCACCAAGAACCCTGCATCCACAGCTCCAGCCGTTGAAGATCTGAACTGAGCACCTCAATTTCAAGCAACGGCATGTTTTTCACATTTGCAACTGCAAAGGAAGCCATTCAGCATCAGACGAGCTGTCTTTCCTGCATGTATCACACTCGAGGTTCGCCCGTCGCCAGCCCTCAAGCACGTCCACCCTTTCACCCACCTCCAGGGATTTGCGTGGAGGTCTCAGCGCAGCGACCGTGCTGCCTCGGAGCAGCGGCAGCACCTCCGGAATTGGACACGACAGACCCCAATGAGGACCGAACTCGAGCCCCGAAGGCATCTCTGATGGTTCGACAGTTCCACCCTCGACTCTCAACCTAATAACCCGAACTCTGCACAGACACCCAAGCCTGGCGATAGAAGGCCAGGAGCTCGGGATCGATTGGCGCCTCGCCCGCCCCTGGCCTGGAATCGGACAAGCTTTCCATTACCCCGAAATCCAAATGAATCACTTTCAGATTTGCTAGAAAAACGGAGACCGTCACTCAGCTTTGGAAATTGTGCATGGCACCACGGGTACTGGAAGAGCATGCACAGAGAGAGAGAGAGAGAGAGAGAGAAGAAGGGCGCGGGTGCGTGCTTGCGGACCGGGGGCCTCCGCTCTTCGGCAGCCAGGTTTGGGCCAGGCTCTGGCTGTTCCACAGTTTGTTGGGAGGCCTCTGTAGACGCAACAAAGTTACGCAAATGAAAAACATCCATGCGCCTGTATAGTGTGGCTGAATGTAGCTACTGTAGTTCTATGGAGAGAAGAAAGAGATGTGTGTGTGTGTGCACATCTATACATATACATATATATATACATACATACATATTATGCCGGCGTTGACCCCAAACAATGAGGAGGGCCAGCCGAGACGAGGAACAAACACTCTAAGAGGGCTCCCCGGAAGTCAATAGCCAAAAATCTCCGAAGAGCCCTGGCCCCACTAAAGTGGTGCGCATTCCGCGTGCGCCGGCGCGGCCACGCGACCAATTCCTTTACCCTGAACGTAAGAACCCCCTAGCGCAAGCACTGCTTGGGGAATGAATACAAATATACATATACATATATATATATATCATGTGCATCTACATATCTAAAAATAGAGATATAAATATACGAATATATAAATATATAAATATATGAATATATATTTATATATACATATATAAATATGAACACACATATATATATAGATATAAACATATGAAAACATATATATATATATACATATATACATATGTATGTATGTATATATATATATCTACAAACAAATACATAAATATATATATATATATAGTGTTATGTATTTACATAGTTGCTAAATAAGGTTCTCGCAAAACACACAGATCCTTGTTCATTTCATGGGACAGAGCCCATAGTGACATAGTGCATTGGCATCCTCAACTCGAGGTCTGCCACTGCCGATCTCGGCTACCTGCAGATCCCGCGGACCGGGAACTCGAAAGGTGAGCCAGTCCCCTGCACCCTGTACTACTCGACGATACTCGCGGCATCAACAATGCCACTCCGCAGCTATAGGGAACTGAATACACCTGCAACGGGCTTCTCCGGTATGGGGACCTTCCGGGGAGGGCAGAGCCCTGTCATTTGACAGGTGTTCTTGCGCCAGGTTGGCCTGATTGGGAAAATCAGCCGTCACAAATCATGTTCACGCAGTCCAGTGCAAAGCGCACAACAACATACGTATTGCGTACATCAAGCCAAACTGGATTTGAGACTCACTATAGCTCACCGCTAAGCTGAACGCTCTATGTGGCTATGTGTGTATATATACGTATATTTATACATATTTATATACACGAAAGAAACTAGTAGAAAGTTCGATGATATGACATGCTGTAAAGCAATACACACTCGTCAACCAAAAATGTCATATGATGTGATATCATATAATAAGGCAACATCGTATAACATAATATCATATGGTATAGCATAATATCATATAACATAATGCCATATTACATCATATAATAAAATTTGAATTTATTTTTATACAACATCTAACATAATGTGACAGAATATAACATACAATACAACATAACATAATAAAGTATGATACAATACAATACAATGTAATACCGTGCAATATAGTATATGAAAATATAACATAATGAGATGGAACATAGTGCAACACATCATACTATTATGACAATGCACCATAGTACAGCATAGCATATCATAACATATTATCATGAAGATAAAATATGAAGACAAGATAAGATAAAACCATATAGTATATTGAAATGTTGCAGTATATATTATACGATTCCATCTTCTATTACATCATATTATAGTCTAGCATTGCATAGTATAGTATATTGTCGTATAGGAAAGTATGGAATAGTAGCAAAGTATGGATAGTATAGTGTGGCGGAAAAGCTGTAGTGTAGTGTGTTATAGTATGTTTACTGCATCAAAACTAGATTAGGTTAGATTAGATTAGATTTTAGATGAGACTAAATATGAGATTAAATGAAATGGCGATGAGAGGAGATTAGATGATGCTCTAGTGGATTATTACATTTGGTAAGATTGTATGATATTCTGTGTTTGTTCATATCTGTAAACATATACATACAGATACATATATGCAAGTGTGTGTGTATATTATATATATATACACACACATGTGCAGAACAGATCATGTGAGTCCTGATGATTGTCGACAGAGACAGAATGCTCTTCGCTGGCGGTGCGCTCCTGGGCCTCGTCGGCCGGAGCGGCAAAGGCCACATCGCGCAGAGCCAGGCCTTGGAGCTTCAATGTCGTCTGTTGAAATATTTTGATTGGGATTTGATGGTTGGAAATGACTTTATGAGGTTTAGCAACACAAGACAGGGTAAAAGGGGTGTGTCGAAGGGGTGTGAAGGCATTTCTGGGGTGTGTCTGTGTGGTTTTTATAACGGCTTGTATGAGCGGTTGCGGTCTCGGAAACCTGTCCAAGATCTGGATGGTTGCGGGGTCATTCGAGGCCCCAGCAAACACGGTCTTTGGCGACAGCCAGCTCACAGCATCTCCGCTCCGCTTCTTCAGTCTGCCGGCCGAGCTCGGTTAAGCCGTAACGATTTCAGGAGGCTCGCGACTTCGCCTCCCGGGCAGCACAGCGCAGGCGGCGCAGGGCTCCGGCCGAGGCGGCGCGGTGCTCGGCGCGACAGCGCTGCAGCGAGGCCTTGAAAAGGCCACGTGCAGCGCGGGGGCAGCGCCATTGCAGAACTCTCTCCCTGGCTCTGCCTCGGCCGCCTCCAGAGATGCCGTTAGCTCCACGGCCCGGCACTCTCCTAGGCTCCGGCTCAAGTCAGAAGGAACGTGAGGCCTCGCGTCTAAGCTTTACAGACTGATCCTTTCAGGCCTGTCAGGTCCTCCCCGGCGATCATTGCCCATCCCAGGCTCTTGCCGCCCTCTGCGCCTGCTCCTGCTGCTCCAGCTCGCGTAGAGTTGTCGCGACGATCTCCAGTCGACCCTGATCGTTGCAAGAACTCAGCACGGCCGTCGCCCCAGTCTCAGGCGCCTGAGAGGCCTTTTTGCCCACGCTTCCCTTGCGGATGCCTCTGGAGAAACGCTTCGAAAAGAGATATGGAAATGCACGCCGCCTGAATGACTTCGCGCAGTCACTTCCTTCGGTGCTTCTGCAGCCTTTGGCTGTCTTTGAGCCTGGCAACCGCTCTGCACCGGACTCAAGTCGTCTTGTCAAAGTCATATTAGAGCCTCAGAGTGCGTCCACTTCTCTGATCCGGCGTCCTCGGCCTCGCGCACACACTCTGACAAAATTTTGACGAACCCTTTGAATTAGACGAGAAGGCTTCCGCATCCCATGCACGAAGGGAAACTGACGCATGGGGAAGATCGAACACAGAGCAGCCTACAGCTTGGTATGTTCAAGCTGATGCATGATGAAAAAGTCCTTTGCAAAAGAACTCACGACTTGTCTACAAGCAACAGCTAAAGGCATTCACCTCGGCCCCGGCCGAAGCAGTCAGAGGTTCCCTTTTTCCACTGCTCCAATAAATAGCATATGATAAAGTGATTGTACCCCAAACGACCAGGGATTTTAACTGTGGAGAGTGGGGTTGGTGGGGCACGCCTCCTGATTTGCTCGAAACACCGTTTCCCCGCCCCTGCCCCCTCTGCCAAACCCCTCCGCATCCCTTCCGTGAGCGATTGTCTTAGTTTTCCTTCCGCTCATGGGGTTGCAGTCTTGGCAAGGCCTGTTTCAGAACATGCGGGGTGAACGAAGCGACGGGCTGTTGACTATGGCGCAATTTGTTTAAGCGGGCTTACATCTTCCCGACATTATCCTCAGCTTATACTGATTTCATACCCGATTGACGGCCTTTGCCAGGTCCCTTCTGAGCTCGACCATCTCAGCAGTGACCATGGCTATCTCCTCGTTGAAAAGCTGCAGTTCCTGCAACCTCGGAACACGCCTGCCTTGACTGAACGTCTGCGCGTACGACGCATGTTCAACCGAGCAACTGCTGTCCACGCGAAGCCTCGACCATTTCTTCTGCCTGAACCATCTCCATCAACGATTGGAAGCTTTGCTGACATCTCTAGCCTTCAACACGTCAGGCCCAAAAACAAGATTGGGACAAAGCTGACCCTCCCGAGCGGTAGAGAAAAGCTTAGCTGATGCCGCTAAACAATGGAAATAGCTTGCCCTACACTCCTACACAGTCGCTTGGGACTGTGCTCTGGGGAATTTGGGAGCATGGTGCCAACACCGGCCTGGACCGCTGCTCTCTTCCTCGCCTCTTTGGGACAAGTCCCTCTAAGCAGGCTTTTGCGACCTCGTCACGAAATCTCACGAACACCCTCTGAGGCTGATCTCTTTGCTCTTTGCCCTTTGCCTGGCTCCCAGAGCTGCTTCGTCGTGGCGGCAACCGCTCGCCGCCGGTCCCGGCGCAGGAGCTGGCAAGCTGAGTCTGCACGGCCAGCAGCAGCGCGCTCCTGCCATCTTTTGAGTAATCAACGATTGCACTTTCCCAGGCTGTTCACTGCGCCTCCCGTGCCAGACCATCCACATCCCGCAGGAGAATCCCACGCTGTCGGTACAGCGCTGCTGCCTGTAGACGAGGAACCCGCCGCCACATTTCAGCATTGTTTCACACTGTGCGAGGGCCGCGGGCAGCTTTGTCTGCTTCCTCCACCGCAGCCGCGCTGGCCTGCCAGGATGCCAAGACCAGTGTTTGACTGCGGTAGGACATTTCGGAACGAGTTTTGTTTGCATAGCATAAGCTAATAGTCGCGTCGCAGCGAACCTTCAGCCACAAAGCCTGCAAGCCAGTCTAGTCCCTGGTCAGATGCAATGCAAGTTCAGATCGGGCAAAACACAAGCAAGATGCCGAAAAGGCGAGTGCGAGGGAAGTGCAGAGCCAAGACTTGCAGCTATAGAGTTGCTGCCCTTATCTGCCTCGGTCAGGAAAGCGAATTCGGATCTCCGCTGCTTTGCCATGTCGGCGCATAACTCCTTCCAAAGTTTAGGCACAAAGGTCGTCTCTGAAGCCGTTTTTCTGATCCCGCACCGGACATGCCCCAAAATCCTGCTTCGCTTCTTCCGATCGAACCTCCACTTCCGCTGTGTGCTCCGTCTTCTCCGCCTGCTCCAGCTCTTTCGTTAGGAGCGGCTCGTGCACAGCCACCCAAGCGCCGAGAACCTCCATGCGAGGGCCCTCCTGTGCTCGAGGAGCGCTCCGCTGGAAAGGAAGGCCCAAATGGGACATCCTTGGACCGCACCGAAAAACCCCTGACCCTCGGTTCAGAAAGACTGCGCGGCTCCTGGGCCAAGAGGTCCTGGAGCCGCTCCTCGAGGCCCAAGACCTGGCGATGCCTCAAATCGAAGAGCGCCTGCTCCTGCGACAGCTCCGCCTCCACAACTTCCGCCTCCAAGGGCCCACCGGCGGAGGCGCCTTGCAGCTCCAGGATTGAGCCAGCCCTGAGGTCAAGGTCCACATGGATCTCGGCGATGGCGTCCTCGCAGTCGCAACTTCGCTCTTGGCTTCGTTTCACGGAGACTGCCTTGATCAGTCACAACATACACCGTCAAACTTCGACTCAAGCCCCAGGCACAGTGAAAATGAACTATTGACGTAGCTTTCGGGAAAAATGGGTGGATTGGCAAAGCTGGGAAGATGCAAAACAGAAACGATGATGACACCTCAATAACGTCAGCTTCCACAAAGACAAAGCATGTATGCATGCATGCACGTACGCAAGTATTTCTGTAGGCAGGCAGGTAGGTAGGTAGGTAGGTGGGTGGGTGGGTGGGTGGGTAGGAAGGGAAGGATGGAGGCAAAGGTATGTATGCATGTATGTCTTTCTGCAGACAGAGAAACCCTGCCACCTCACCTTTTAGCGTGCCAGCCCATGACCGAAAAAGCTATATCGAGCACAGTTAGTCGAAGTTCCTGAACTACATTTTACGATGTCGCGGCTTGGGATGCTGCTCGTTACAGAAGTTTGGAACCACAACATCGAACGGGGCCCCGAAAATTCACAACCCATGCCCGGAGAGCCTCCAAAACCTTCGCCCTGGAGCCATAGTCTTCCACCATTTGCTGGAGGCGTCTCTTCACCAAAGTTACTTGACGCATCCCGACGTCCGCTTCCACCCATGCGGCAATGGCCTGACACGAAGCTCGAAGATAAATCAGCTCCTAGGACCTGAATTTCTGAGCCGACCTTTTGGAGACTGCGAAGAATCTCCGGCAGGCCCTGAACCTCTTGGTGCTGCGACTGCAGCTGCAGCAGCTCTTCGGCAGCACTGAGCTCCGTAGCCACCTCTTCGACCAGGCCACCATGCTCTCGGATTTCGCGGCAAGCAAAGGACGCAGCAAGGAAAGCTTCTCTGCGATGTGGCCAGGCCTGTCGCTGTGCTTTGCGAGTCTCGGCTGCACGCCGGTGAGCTGCATCGGCTTCAAGTTCCACCTCCGACAGCACAGCATCGTCTGACGGCTTCTCAGAAAGGGCTTCAGGAACTCACCACAGTCTGGCATTCACATCTCCACTTCTTGTACGACCCCACCTTGCAGACCCCGATCCCGTGAGCGCTTTGCACGGCGAGAATCAGCGACCACAGGCGCTCGCCAGAGAAAAAAACCCACTCTGAACAGTCAGCTCTGAGAGTGCTGGAGCACTTCCCTTCCTTGCGGAAACTCCGAGAAAAAAAAAAGGCCTCACCTGGCCTTGCGAAGAGCTCGCTGCTGCTCCGCGAGGGCCGCAACAGCCTCGGTCTCTTGGCTCCGGAGCAGCTCCAAAGTCCTAAGATGCTCAGAAGTGAAGGGAAGCTGAAGCGAAGGCGAAGCTGAGTAACAAAAAGGCAAACAAGGCGGCCATACATGCAAGGCTCACGTTGCAAAAAAAGGGCTAAGCTTCAAGCCTTCAGTCTCGCGGTCCCCTACTTGCAGCAAGTCGCTCTGCGTGTGCCAGCTCGCGGTCCGACAGCAAGCAAGAGTGTCTCAGCTCCTACGAGGCTACGGGCCGGGAAGGTTGGAGTCCTCATGCGGCTGGCGGCTGGGGGCAGGTTTAAGGATCATTTCCAACCGATCTTATCCCACCCCACGTGTCGCTCCTCTGCTTTCTGTTGCAAACCATCCCTCCGGGAACGCAGCCTGCAGAGCACCAGGGCCGGACGACAAATGTTTTTCAGCATTAACACGCGCGGATGAAGAGACCGAGTACAATCTACCATCAACACTTAGGCGCAGGGGGTCCTTTCCAGACGTCCGGCGGACACGTCCTGGATCTCTCGCAAAGCCGGCCTGCCAAAAGTTTCGGTTGCGCTGCCTGGGCATGTCCTGCAGAAAAGCTCTCATGCATCCCTAAACCCTAAAACCTTTCCACTGGGCCTTCCGCTTGAGATTTGGAGATGACAAAGCAAAAAGCAGGACACAAACAGGGTGCAAGTATGGCCTGGCTTCCTCAGGCTGGGTCCCACCTCAGGAGCAGCAACTGGACTAGATGCTTCGGGTCGCTGGGAATCTTGTGACCGATGCTGCTATTGCCCTGGGATTTGGCTCAGCCGATCGGACGGTTGAAGAGACGTTTGCTTGTGAGGCAGACGGGAGCACATGTGCGGTTTGTACTTCGGCCCGGCCTCTTAAGCCCTTTTTGCACATGCAGAGCATCACTGCAATCTCGGCATAGTGGCTTACAGACTTCCGCCGCACCTCGAGAGTTGGATACACCCAGGTTGCAGGGGCCTGGCGAGAGCTCGCCCAATTAACTATATACCGCGGAAGCAACATGCGCCTTTCGATTCACGAGCTGCCAGCGAGCCCAGTGGCAAAGAACTCTGGCTTGGCTGAATCCGTGCTGGAGATGCCTCCCGGGCAACAACAAGATCGCGCACGGTTTGTGCCAAGGTGCCAGGTGTACCGACGATTGGGTCAGCATGCAGCATGCATGTGTGGCTTTGCCTCATGCTTCCCGTGCACTTGATGACGAATGCAAAGCAAGCGAAAGACGTTATCATTACACGAAGACCTTTTCCAAGCACTCCAGACGATCCAAAGAGGCCTGTGCATCCCCATGAAGGATCCGCTTCAAGACACTTGCTCGATGATCAGCCACGCTAGAAGTGATATGTGACATATGCATATGCAGCAGTGAAGGACAGCACCTCTGCGGCTTTCTGGCTCGCTTGCCGAGCCCTCGGATCCGGCTTTGAGACTGCGGTATGTGATAAGTCTGATAAGTCTTGAGTGACGACGCTGCGCCTGAACATACTGCTGAGTCAAAGTGGCACTTGCGACCGCTTGGCCCGTGGCTGCATCTTCAAAGTACGAAGCCGTTGTCGAAGACGGTCTCGCTCCTGAGAACCAGAAATCGAGACTCGAGCCCCTGGGCCCAGGCGCCCTCTCGCCTGGCGGAAGCTTGCCTCCTGGCGGTCGCTTTCGGCACCTCTCGAAACAAGGCCGATGCGGCGGCGCTGCGCCGAGGGCTCTGCTCTGCTGGCAACCAAGGGGCTCAGCTCTGCTCTCTCGCTCCTCAAGCTTTGCAGCCGCCGCTCCTCCCCAACCCGCAGCTCAGCGACTTGGCAATAGTGGCTCTGCTGCTTGGGAGGCCTCGCGAGCCTCTTGGCTTGAGGCATTCGCGACGCAGCTGCTCCACTCCGCCTGACTTTTGAGCGAGAGAGCGCTCAGAGAAGTACTCCGTCGCTCCCCATACTCCAACCTTCGCAGCTGCGTGCTCCACTGAGGACCTGGAAGAGGCAGAGAGGCACCGGGGATCGCACAAGCGGGCCCTCAAGGCCGAGGGCTCCGCTGCTGCTCCTGGAACTCCGAAGCCGAAAGCTCCGCCTCCAAGCACCGCACCTCTCCAGCGCGGAAAGCGCGCGGAAAGCGCGCGGAAAGCGCGCGGAAGCGCGAGTGATTCACAGCGAGAACAAGGGCACCTGGGCGGAGAGCGCCTCCCAAGCCGCACTGTTCTGCTGGCGCCCCGGTGCCTGAGGTCGAAAGTGGCTGAAAGCCTGCATGTGCCCATCAGGGAATCGTCCAGGCCTCTCTCCGTGAAGGCGGCGAGGCCGCTGTCGCTCTGTGCTGATAGCGTAGCCGCGGAGACTGCAGTGGAGTGTCCGGGGACTGTGCAGGGGACTGCCGAGCTCCGCGGCGCTTGGGACTCGGTGTGAGGTCTGTGGGACCTGCGGGGGAAGCATTTGGAACGTCTTGGGCATCACGGGCATCTCCCGTCTGGGCACCCGAAGGCCAGGGAGAGAAGCCTTCCAACCAGCACGGCAAGGGGCTGCCTTGCCTGCACTCGCCGGCCTGCAGGGAAACATCGCGCAACAATCTTCACCCACAACTTGCGTGAAAATCGGCACGAAACGAAGGCTGACAGCGGGATGCCTCTTCGGGAAGGATGGTCTCGGAGGAAACATGCTGCTCATCCTCCACCCCAGAACATCCACTGGCCCAGGTCTCTTTGTATCTACCTTTCATAAACGGCTTTGCATAAAGAGAGTAGCGCTTTCTTCTGGTATCGTAAAGAGGACCATAGATTGGAACCCTCCCCGTCCCGATGCCACGATATGCAATGTGCGCTCAGGCGGTCTGCTCGACCATCACGAAAGCACAACTTATTTTCCCAATACACCCCACCGAACCAGACTGGGTTCAAGGTCATCTCAAGATCCCTACCACGACCAGATCACTCTTCGATCACCGACATCTACGCATTGCGTCGCAGCCCAACGGATTTCAAGGTGATGGCACGTGTCAAACGAAATGAGAGTACCGTTTGCTTCAAGCAGTGTTTCAGCGGAATAGATCCATGGCAGGCATTCCGAGAGTATGCTGTGTTGAAATCTTATTGCGAGCGTCACACTTTGCTCTGACCGCCATGGCCTGGCAGCCGATGATCTGATCACGGTCCCTCTGCCACCCTTAGTCTCCCCCAAACCCAATCCTGAACCGCCAGCTCGTCTTTCGTGCATTCGCGATGAGAAACATGCATCAATTCCAAAGGTGTTGTTGCCACCCCCCTTCGAGTCGAGCTGCGCCAACCTTGACTGCCTTCACTCACAGCCGGGGCGACACCCCCATTCTCTGTCTCCCTCTACAGTTCTCTCTGCACAGCTAAAGGAGAGCAGAGCGAACGCCACTCCCCCGGCGCGTGCACGCACCTTGGGCCTTGTCGTCCAAACCTGCTTTGTTTGATATGATGAGGCCGAAGTCAAGTATCTTTCTTTCGCCAGGGCTGCGGGCACAGGAGTTGCCCCCTGTGCCCGTATCTCTCTCTCTCTCTCTCTCTGCGTCCTCTAGTTCCAAGAGCTCCACATCCTCCTGCAGCTGTTCCAAGACCTCCAGCTCGGCTGACAGAGACGGAAGACGTCACCGAGCTCTCACAGCTCCAAGGCGCCTCATGTCTTTGCAAGCCCCAGAGTCCGCTGGAGGCCATTGCTGCATGCTCGCGAAATCTCGAGGGGGGGGCCCTCGCGGGACGAGGCCTTGGCTGGAGGATGTTTTGGAAGCTGCCAGGTCTTCAGCACAGTCTGAGTCTTTTGGGTCTGAAACTTCAACGGCTTGCGATCACAGCCAGGGCTCCAGCAGTGATTGCAAGTACGAGCTGTAACCGTCTCAAACCAAAACATCTTGTTCCTCCTTGAGAGGCTCTGTACTATCGGATGTGAAACCGTCGAGAAAGCAGCAGCATCCCAGACACAAACGGCGTCTTCTAGAAGAGTAGTTACCCTTGGGAGCTGTCACAGCGCTTGACCTGCAAAATGCTGCTTGCCTCTATACCTCCGGTACACAGTCGACGTGAAAAACCCTGGCGTGACCGATCAAGCCAGGAGTTGCGAATAAGACTGTGCGGGGAATTCGGATTCAACTGTACAGCACTAGCATGAGCCGTGGTGAGAACAAGGGCGGGCGAGCCGCCTTCGAACCACATCGTCCGACGAACAAGGCACACTTTTGCATGGTGAGAAGTGAGTTTCTGTCTGCCGTCATCACATGTCATGACAAGCTCCCGGAGACAAACAACGTTATGCCGGGGACGTGAGACGAAGTCCGTCTTCGATTGGGCCGCCTTGGCCGCCTCCCCTTCCCGGCCTTCAGCTGCAGCCACACCTAGCTGACCGAGCTGTGGCAATCTGCAGTTTGCAGGGAAGGCCGCCTGCTTTGTGGTCAAAGCCGGCGCAGACCCGCTCCAAGCGAGTTGTGACACATGAGGTGCGTGTGTGGCACGGCTTGAAAAGATGTCAGTACGGCTAATGGGCCATAGATCGAGAGTCACACGAACTTGCACTTGCCAACAGAAGCTCTCAACGACGAAGCTGCCACACTGGCATGCCAATTCACCAAATACAGGGCATGCACTCATCAAACGGGCAATGCAAGCTCATATTCTGACTAGCCGTCGATGCTGTCGAGAATCTCCTGAAGATGCAACATGGCTCAGGACATGCAGCCACAGCTTTCACCTGCCCTAGTCTTAGCATCCTTCATCAGCATCTCGTCGTCATCGTCGAAATGATTGTTCCGATGGGCACGAGGAGGTGCGACAGTCTGCCAAGCAAAAGCAAGTCTGACAGGCTTCTGCTTCGACTGGCTTCAAGCTGTCTCTTGATCACAGGTCTCGAGAGATGACGACAACTAACTGCCATCGGCGACAGCTACTCCCATACCACCAGCACTGCCACCACTGACCATCTGAACAACTGTCAAAGAACACCAAGGCAACAACCACCACCTGATGGAATGCTTTCCGAAACTTGCAGAATGCCCCTCCTCTCCCCCTCGCTCTCTCGCTCCCTGGCTCGACAGTGTGCCAAACCTGCTCGCCAGGCAGATCATCCAGGATCCCACCCGGAAGGCACTTCTCCAGACTTGCCTCGGGCAATTCAGAGCAGATGACTGCGGCATCTCGACTGTACGGAGACCTATCATTCGGTGCAGGTGTTCTGAAACGTGCAGAGACCCTGGTGCGAAAAGACTGCGTTCAATGTACATGTGATGAACCCTCTTCGCCCACGACAAGCACATTGTTTGAGCATGTGAAGCAGCTGTAAGCGTCTGGAGGACCGGATCAACCACTGCCTCCGTCACTTTGACGCCGAATACTCTTGACAGCTACCGTTAACCCAACGTTTGACAAATTGTCGATTGCAAAAAGTGAAGCCATGCAGTGATCTTTGCAACAGCAGGCTCAACGGTTTGTGATACTGGTTGCAAGTGACAGAGACGGTTGTGTCTACCAGATGAACCTTGCGGGACGGAACGCAAGGACCGTGCATCTGCAGGATGAACACGAGTCACCAAAGCTGGTTACACCGAGCAGGTCCCACATGAGTCAGCTCTATCACAGTGCACACTGGGCACGATGCCTGTCTCGGGGTGAGGGCGGAAGAGGCATTGACACCTGGGCAATTAGCAAAAGAGTGCCAACGCTGACAAGCTTGTGAGAAAGCCGCCAGGCCAATGCTGCAGCCGGTTTCCTGAGACCCATGCCCATGATCTCATGGGGTGCTTTGCTCTCCTCCCACTTTCCAGGTTTGCTTCTTTGCTTGCTTTCTACCTAGCCGCCTACACCCTTTGCTTCTGCCTGTCCAAGAGACATCGCCGGCACCGGCGCAGCCCCGGGACCTTTCAGCCACACAGGCGATGCACTCGCAACTGCTCAGAATACTTGGAAGAAAAGCCGACAAGCAACCTATCGCGAATCCAACACATCCGAATCCTCTCTCCAGGGGGCTAGGCCTGTGTCACCAGAACCGGACTGGCCTCTTTGGTACCTGGGCACGCTGGGCTGAACGTGGCGCCGTGAGCCCACATCTGGACTTGAAGAGACGTCCAAGAATCCAAGAAAGGTGTCGCAAAACATCCTCCTAAGAAGGATCACAAACTTGCGAAGCCTATCCAGAACATGAACGTATTGCTCACTCTGTCCCTGGTTCTACCACATCACCTGGATCTCTCCCGTTTATCGATGGAGCTCCGATCTGAGTGGCAGGGTCGCTCCCCTGAAACCGGTATGGAATCAAATCATTGGCACGAGCTGATGCGATCGTCGTTTGGCTTGGAAAGGCTTCGAGAAAGGTGCTCTCTCCACTAATGACTCTGGCACAGCATTCTTAGTCGGCCGAGTATTCGACATTCATAAGCTGCACTGCACGCAGGCCGTCAGACGAGTCATCCATGGCATGAACTCGCTGTGAACAGGAACCCGATACAACAGCACAGTTCCGCCTGCCCTCATGCTACAAGGCAGGATACTGTGTCGGGAAATTTTGTACCCACTGCTGTTCAATCTCATACCACGCGAATTTTACCAACAAAACGATACGCTTGAAACAACCGGACATCTCTTCGGTCCCGTGCCGTTGGTTGTCGAACCGCTTCCGATGCTCGGCCATCTTAGCCGCCTGCAGCCATGGAATGTGCTCACACAGCCTTTGGATATAACGATACCGCTACGAAGTCAGGATCTGTTTTGCTTCAGCTGCGACAACTGATCAGTGCGAAGAGCGAGGAACATTGGAATGATCCGTCATAAACTGTGGCAGCACCGACGACGGATATGCTAGGAACATATGAACACTGACCTCTTCTTGCTGCTGCTTCGAGAGGACAGGCTTCGGCTCGTCGTCTTCCTGGCTGCTGCTCTCATGGATGTTGCGCACAATGAACCGAGTACAACACTATGAGAGAGTCACCGCCCGAGCTGATCAGCGCGGCAGTGCTGCCACTAGACATGAGACTACGTTTTGCTGCGCATGGGCAGTAAAGGCCTACAAAGCCGTCCCGCGTCGAAGAAACCGGGAGATCCCTTAATCCCGGCAGTGCTGCGGCGGTTATGGCATCAAGGGCCAAGTCTATGTCGGTCTGGCCGTCCTTCCGGTGCCCACTGCAGTAAGACCCGCACCCAAGGAATGAGACAATGCAAAAAACTGGCCTCGGCCTCCATCTCGCGCGTTTCCAGCACGTCTCTCGCAGTGGAGGTTCCCTTGCCCTCGCCAGTGCAGAGCTCTCCGTCGAATCGAACCAGAACTTTTGGTGCAGGAAGCCTCGTAGATGACCTCGACATCGTCATCCGGATCCATCACCAGGACACTGTACCTCACAGCGAGAAGTGGAGTCTCTCGCATGCCCCGCAGTCAGAAGGCGGGTTCTGAGAGAGACACTCCACCGGCTTGTGCAGTGAACCTCAGTCACCCGACTCACCACACCAAAGACTGCACACCGCGTCACGTACCGGAGCCACTCCTCAACTGTGCCACGTGCCTGAACCGGTCGCAGCCTCGGCGGTGGAAGCCTCAGACTAACTGAAAACAGCGCCGGGCCCTGCCAGCAAGCAACAAACAAAACAACACTTTTCGTCTCAGATCGCTGCGTTCCCGGGATCCTGCAAAAGAAGACTCCCGGCTCTCGAGCCCCACACAGCCGGGCACGTGCCTTCGCAGCTGCAGCCGTCGAGACTGCTGGCCTGTCCGCCTGTGCCAATTCAGAGCCTCTTTCCAGCAGCCAGGGACACTCTCGGCCCTCGGCCTTGGAGGGCTTGGATGCCCACGTTTCGGGCTCCTTGCAAGGGGGAGGCGCCGTCTGCGTCCGCTGCGTCTGCTGCGAGGCGTCCTCTTCCTTCTCTTCGGGCTCGGCCACGGGCTTGATGTCCTTCGACGGCCCAAGCCCTTCCCACCGCGAGAATGCGGCAGAGTCTGCCGAACGTTGGGATCCCGTTTTCTGGCGAAGGGTGCTCGGAGAGCGGGAACAACACCCCTAGCGCAGTGGACTCTAAGGAGTATGTGCGGAACTCTCGAAAACAGTTCAAGGGTAGAGTTCTGCTACGCGCTTGCCTGTGGGACCTACCGCTCCTGCGGAGTGCTCGTCCCGCAGCCCATACTGCCAAGCCCCCAGTCGCCACTGCCTCGGAAGAATCAAGGACGACAAAAGGCTGAGACTGAGCAAATTCGGTCCAAGAAGCGGCGATTTCAGGAGCTCGCTCCGGGCGCAGCTTGAGCCGACAAGTAGAGTTCGTCAGGTGGCTTTCTGCTTGGGCTGATGGCATCCAGACTCACACAAACGAACAGCGTGACGTCGAAAGATTTCATTGTGGAGTCAAGTGTTCCCTGACATGAGTCTCCCTTCAAGCTACTGGTGAAATAATCTCCGGCGAGCGCACCGCGGCGTCACGGCCGAAAATAACAGACTGAAGCCAACAAAGCCAAGGCAACCAATGTTTGGTCTGGGGTGTAACAGGCAGGCCGCAGTCTGCGAGTTTGAAGTGGCACGTTGGCACTCACTTCTTCTTCAGCTTCTTCGGTGGAGGCTCCTGACATTGTGATCAAGCGGGCTTGCGTGTCAGCGCCTGGTCGGCAGACCAGTCCATTTCGGAGTGGTATCCACGAATGTCTACACAAGTAAAGGCCCAGAGTCGGATCCCACGGGCATATGCTGACATCCCACCCGAAAATGCTGAGCCCTTTGCCTCCTCTTCGTCCTCCTCCTCCTCCTCTTCTTCTTCCTCCTCGTCATCATCTGGCATACCATCCTTAACACCATGACAGCACCCGTGCAGCTCGGCAATAGGCTGGGTTATATTATATAAAGCAGCGGTAGGGAGCTCTGCAGCCAAGCCCTGAGGTCCCGTCCGGCTCAAAGTATCCGGTCAGGTGCATCTCGCTGCTGCCTTTGTTGTGGAAAGAGCACCTGCACAATGTTGAAAGCAACTGTTGCCTGCAATGTCTCGGGGCCGAAGCTCCAGCTCAAACCACTCTCATGCCGCGCGTTCCAGTGCGGAAGAAGAGATCGAAGGAAGCATATTCGCTCTTGTCCTGGCAGCACGGCGTAACCAGGCCAAAACCCCTAGACCCCCACAAAGTGACTATAACTAGCATGACAACCTTTGCCATACCTTTGCCTGGTCCACGAATGCCTCGCAAGTACTGGCGCACGTGTCGTACCCGCCTGTCCTTCTGCAGGCAAGCTATGGAGTAGGACTTTGCACCGTCCACAACCTGGACTCACAGATGCAGCTGCGCCACAAAATCCTGGATTCCAGCGATTCAGCTGCACAACGCCTGAAGAACCCCTGCTCTTACTTGCACGAGTGCTGGGACTTCCTCAGTTCACCCCCCTCAGCGCCAAGGCCTGCAGGAAGTTCTTCCCAGCTGTTGGCTGATGCAGACATGCCTTCAAGGTGCACGAGCAAATCGGCAGGCTGCAGGGTTGTAGGGCGTATTGCTTGAACCGCTCCAGAATCTGACAGCTTGCAGCCACTCCAGAGCAGGACAAAGCCAGACAGTCGTGCCGATGTCCGCGCAATGATGTGCCACTGTTGAGCATGGAGCATGCAGAGACCAGCTGCCCAAAGCGAACAGACAACTCAAAATTCTGATGCAAGGTCCCAGCAGCCTGCGATAAATGTAAAACATCTCCTCCTTCTTCTGCCTATGTAGCCGGCAAAAGGATGCAGCACTGATTGTGTTTCGGTTGGGAATAAGGAATAGCAAACTAACGGAAAATGTCGAGTGTTGCACATGTCGGCTAGCAGCTTGGGGGCCTTCACTTCGAACTTTGCGCCTGGCTTCAGCTGACACCTTGGCATCAGCACCGAAGGGTCAACCCAGCGAACCACAACGATGACTGGGTCTGAGCAGCACACCCCCAAAAGCTCATCAGTGTGCCTGCAACATAAACACATACCATCACAGTGGCCGCTCGTCTGCAACACAAATCAAACTTCGGCCTGGCCGTCCAACTGATCGCAAAGGACCCCAATCGGCTGAGAACCCAAACTCCGGTCTGTCTTTCTGCCGAGAAAAGTTCTTTTTGAAAGGACCCCCCCCCTCTGCTCTTCCACAAGCTGCCAAATCTGGAAGACAAAACCAACAGATGGATTCAAGGATAGACCGGTAGACAAATAGATAGATGAACGGTAAACGGATAGATAGATAGATAGATAGATAGGTACAGAATACATAGAGATCTCTGTGTTTACACCGATCATGTGAGCTGACTGGCAAAAGTGCTCTGCATGACTCCACTTGGAGCTCCTTGCCCACGCGTAACCCTAAACCCTTCAAGTGCACAGGCCACTAGGTCCCTTCTGCGCATGCCTGGCATGCTGAAATCACATGCCGAAGGCAGCTGAGACGTATCACAGCTTTATGGCAGAACTTGAAGGCGAAAGGTCGAGGAAATAGCACCACTCGTCCGTGCCATACAACTGTGCCTGTTCTCTATGCTTCCTTCACAGCCTTGGGAACCAGACTACCATCGGCAGAGTTGCCATCACTTGCATGGTAGCGGACTGCCTGTCAGTGGAAGACCGGAGTTTCTACCTGGGACGGAATGCCGTCCAGTTTTGAAGAGCATTGCGAGCAGTGTCTGAACTATGGGCAGACTGTGCAGAGGCAAATCGCGGGGCAGCCAACAACATGGCTGTCGCATGATCGTGGCGTAAACACATCTTCTTCTTCTTTGTTTTGGGTTTCTTCGAACACGCAAAAGCCCAGAGGCCCACAAAGTCGCGCGGAAAGGGAGAAACCATAAGCGTTGACACGCACGTGCACTTCGAGACCGTACTGCAAGTCGCTCATTTTCAGCGGCCAAGGCATGCAACGATTTCGAGTTGGTCTACGTTGGTACACGAGTTGCACATGTCCTCTAACTTTTTCAGGACGCAGGGTCTGACATCCGAGGGCCCTTGACGTAAGCTTGCTTGAGACAAGGAAGCAGCAATGCACGGGCCCTCTTGAAACATGTCGTGTTTCACAAAGATGTTCACTCATGAAAACATATTGGCAAATCATAAGCAAGAAAAAGCATATGAAAAAATTTTGCCGGAAGATCTTGGCAAAGAACTCGTTGACGGTACTGTGGCGAAATAGGTGTTCCCATACGGACCTGGAGCGTCTATTCTGTAGTGTTCTCGACGTGTCTGTTCTCAGTTGTTTCCAAACAAATTTAAAAAACGGCTGTTGTGAAATAAAGTAACAATCACAACCGACCCGCGCACAATTTGCAACATCGGAAACCCGCTTGTAAGGCTCGCTGCCCGACCCACAGACATGTGGCTCATTCCGACAAGTGTTGGTAAGACCAAGAAGATGCCATCTAAGCAGCTTTTCGACCATGGCAGCAGACATACCGGGGCTGCATCCGAGGATACAGGACGCTTTTTCAAGACTAAGGTCGATTCGATGAAACCTACAAGGCAGCAGGCCAGCCAGTCTGGGAAGCCGTGTGCCATGAAGAACTTGCAGTGAAGGATCTCTCAACATGATGTTGGACAAAAATCGGGCAGCAGCAGTTCCAAAATCCGGCCTTGTAGCCGAGCACGAGCCAGCTTTTGAAGAATCGTGGCTGAGAAGAAAAATCCAACGAGAAGGAAGTTCTTGAAGAGCAAGATTTCCACGAACAGCGGGGATAAAACATGTTAGCAGGAGGCTTCAAAGTGGACGAAGGTTTCAAGGCTTTGAAGGGTGAGAACGAAGCGGGTGTGGGAGGGAAGAGAGAGGCTGGCTGCCCCCCTAACCCCCCGCTCTTGTCAAGCAGCAAAAACCCCTTGTTCAAACCAACGAACCTATTCCTGGCCACGTAGCCTGCCAGACATGTCCGCACAAAAAGGGAAAAGCCACACGGAAACGCTCTCGTAGCGTAAAAACGGCGAAAAAAAAGAAAAAAACAACCTGACGTCTTTCCAAGCAAAGATTAACCGCACATAAAAATGAAAAAGCCAGGTGTCCGACTGTTCAGGGCTTGATTGGCGGGTCATGGGTGACAGCCTTCGGAGAAGCTTCACGCCGGTTCGCAAGGCACTGGGAAGTCGTCCAAGGAATGGACTCCGAAGCCTTGCAAACCCCCCGTGCCCCATCCGGGGAACGCTGCCTAATTTTGCGCAGCTTGGGGAACAGAAGACGAATGCTTTTGCGGGCTTAAAAACGAAAAAACGAAGAACAAAAACCAGTCTGATGTCTTTCGAAAGAAGAAACCTGGACGTTTTTTGGCTTGAAAAATCAAAAAAATGAAAGTAGAAAAAGCCGGACGTGAGCTCTTAAGACCGCAAAAGAAACCTAAACCAAACTTAAAAGAAGTCCTTCATCTCTAAATGTGAGAAACCTGACAGGTTCCACCCCAGAAAAAACAAAGCGCAAAGGCGTTTCTAGCCTAAAGTGGTCCGCAACAAAAACAGCCACACGAGAACGCTTCTAGGGGCTTAAAAAAAAGAAAAAGAAAGAAAAGCACAACTACTTTTGCTTGAGTATCTTCAAAGAGACTTCATACCTGTATTGGTGTGTCCAGGCGGCATCCCGGCCTTCACGATTCGGCAGTCAACCTCGTGGTGTGCAAGCACTGTACTCACCTTGGACTGAGTGCGTGCTTGACCGTGAAAGAGCGCCCGGCAACTTCGACCAAGAAGGTTTCTTGTCCAGATGTGCAACATCTAAGTTTTGAAATGATCCTAACTCAAAACGAAGCAAACTTCATCGTCGTCGCTTCGAAGGCTTTGAAGGCTTGAACGACAACGCTGTACAGATTCCGGATTGACAAAAAGCGGTTTGAAAGCAGACATGGATGTCCAAGTGACCGCAACATCTCTTTCAGACTATGGAAGGTTTCCAAAAACAGCAAACATGTCCGCCGGCCTGAGTGTTGAAGGGACGTCTTCAACAACACGTCGGAAACTCGCGAAAAACCCATTTTTCTAGGTTCCTCCAACTCTCCACTGCTCCGAATGGCCCAAACCTGAACACGAATTTTCTTGGAATTCTGGGTGTGGCGGCTTGTGTGAAACACAGACATGAGACAGCTTCAATCCAGCGGCGTTCACCACGGACCAGTTTAAAATCCAACTCCAACCCACAGAGCGGGTCAAGGTTCGGGTTGACTCAAACTCGAACCTGCGCAATAAAGAGTTGGTTCGGGTCAAAAACCTTTGCTTCAGAGCGGACCATTTCACCACAGAAATGGTCTGCCTCCGCCTTGAGACGTTGCAGCCAAACCAAACTTGATCCACGCCGCCGTGCAACTGCCAAGTATCTCAACCAGAGCGGTCGTGGCTGCCACTTTAAGCGCTCCTTAGGTTCCTCGGTGCACTTTTGCTCTCTCTGGGCAGAACTTTGGTGGTAGGGCTTGTTTTCGACGTGGGTCAGAATTCGGTACTTTGAGGGCTGGGAATACAACGCTTGGAAGCCGAACGTTGAAGAGGCGATGCGCCAGCCGAGCCGACCACGCAGTCTCGAGCAACTCGTGCATGAGTGTCTAACATGTTCTTTCGTTTCGTCCTCCGGCTTCTCTTCAACTCCGGAAAGTTTGGCTGATAAAAAGACTGCTCTCTCGGAAAGGTGTTCAGCTATGGCAGCTACAGAGCTTGTTTCGAGACATAGGTCAGAATTTGGTACTTTGAGGGCTGATCGATTTGAGGTTACAGGCCGTAGGGTTGAAATCTGAGAGGCTCCAAAGTGCTTGCAAACAAAATAAAAAGGCTGGAAGCTGCTTGGCATTTTGGAGCTGCTCGGGAGCTTGCTGGGCAAGAGCTGGCGGCACTCTGGCAGCCGTTTTTTATTTAGAAAATCAGCCAAATTTCTAAACTGTTGGAGGGCGTGCACTGCGCGCGCGCACTTTGTTCCGGCGGCGGCGTGGCAGC